CATATTCTCCTTCTCCTCTGCAAGACCATTCTTCAACCCATCAAAGTAATAAGGAATTATTCTCAAAAGGGAAAAAAAGGAAGGACTCCAGACTGGAATATGCTAGGCTCAGTTGAAAGCCCGAATACTAAATTTAAAACAGGCTGATTCAGTGACCTAGATCTCCTTGCATTTATTTTATGATTTTTTGTTGTGTCAAATTTGAGTTATATGTATGCTTATTAGTGCTCAGTCAGTCACGTCTGACTCTTTGTGACCCATGGACTATAGCCCGCCAGGCTCCTGTGTCCATGGGATTCCTCAGGCAAGAATACTAAAGTTGGTTGCCCTTTCCTCCTCCAGGGGATCTTCCCGACCCAGGAATCGAGCCCTCATCTTTAATGTCTTCTGCAGGCGGGTTCTTTACTCCTGAGCCTAGTAACCTTAGTCATTCTGAATGCAGAATGTAGCGATCTCAAGAGCTCTTAACCAGTGATTAGCAGAACACTGGCAGTTGAGGCTTAATCTCCAGGAAGAAAATTAAAAGATACTCCTGAGGGAATCAAAGGAAAGATCCAAAGATAGGGATGTTTCAAAGGATTCATTAACAAATAGTCCAACTAGTGGTAAAACTCTAACTAGATGAACATTCTCCCCTACCGTATTGTGCACATAGAGCTCCCAAATCAGACTTCAGTTCCCTTTTTTATCATTAACAGGTTGTGAAGAATTAATAAGCATCTGAAGAAAAGCTTAATACAGAAGATAGAAATCCAAACAAGCACAGAGAAAAATGCAGCTGGGGGAAAAAAAAAAAACCTGAGGTCTTTTCAGGAAGAAGGAAATGTCTTAAGATTACTGTTAGTCACTTCAAACATATAAGAGAAATTATTACATTCATAAAATAAGAACTCATAGAAATTAAAATAATTTGGTAGAAATGAAAAACTCAGTTCAATATTTGGAATATAAAGATGACAGAAATAAGAAATAGGAAAGCAAATCTTATAGATGTATACTCAGACTGGAATATCAAAAAACTTGACCTCTGAGGTAGTCCTTCTTTAGAATTCATCAAAATTAGAGATAAACCTAGGAAAGGGAGAACATCTGTTAGAGGCAACAGGGGATCCAACATGGTCGAGGAATTAAGGAAATCCCCAGAAGAAATCTATAATGATTGTGCTGCAGACACAAAGGGCTGTCCGAGAGAGGGTCAATAGTATCGCAATAGGGTTCAAATTATAGATACACTCAAGACCTTCGAGACCAGGGTCTCACTGCCATTGTGCCTATGTGCATGTTCAGTCACTCAGTTGTGTCCAACTCTCTGCGACCTTAAGGACTGTTTCCCATCAGGCTCCTCTGTCCATGGGATTCTCCAGGCAAGGATACTGGAGTGGGTTGCTATTTCCTATTCCAGGGGAACTTCCTGACCTAGGGATCAAACCCACAACTACTGAGTCACCTTCATTGGTAGGCAGAATCTTTACCCCTGAGCCAACTGCCATTGCACCATCTTTTAAACTGAGGACAAAACTCCTAAGTGAGCCTGGCGCATATTTTTTTCCATACCTTCTTTGCCTTAATTAGAAACAAATGAAGTTATTCCTGTACATTTCATGCTCTCTTTCCTGAAACAGCTGGGCACTCTCTTATCTCTATTAAAGTATTCTGCTTATATTTACACCTCAGTGTTGGAAGTGACTGTCAGTAAGCCTAGTCTTGGAATAGAATAACCCACTCCCAGTGACAATCTTTGGTGCACACTACAGCCTGATGCTATGATTCTACTGTACATCTGATGCCATGATTCCCCTTATACATATGCATTGTACACAATTGTCTGTATTCATATTTTATAATAAACATTTAAAAGCACTGTGCTAAAATTCTTTAAAAGCATTAGTGTTTAGGACATAAACTCATTTAGTAATAACAAGGAACTTATTCTTAAAAATATATAACTGAACTGAAAAATATTTGAAAGATTCTAATTTGTAAAATATCTTTATCCATTTTACATGTTTGTAAAATAGAATCTATTCCCTTCGTGCTCCCATAATGATTAGGGCTATTCAGTTGTAAATATATAAATACATCTCTGTGGCATTCTCATAGCTGTTAGGATTAATTATCTATGAAATATACTGAATATAAATCCTTGATGTTTTCATCTGATTAGCATTATTTAGTGGTGATATGTATAACTATATCCTCCCCCAGTGTTCCATAGTGGCTAGAGTTATTTATTTGTGGTGTATGTATCTCCACTGACTACCTGGAGTCATCAGGTTATGTTGTCAACTAGAATAGGCATTTCTTCCTCTTTTTCCAATTTGAGTGGTAGGCACTGGAAAATAATCTTATGCTAATATCTCTTCCAAAGAGAAGAGATGTTCTTTCACTGGTTGAAATTACTTTGAAAGTAACCAAATTTTAATAAAATTAAGAATAGTACTTCATATATGTATAAGTACACAATGAATAGAGTAATATCTATTTTGGCAGTGATGTAGAAACGTTTCAGGAAATGGATAAAAATTGAATATCATACATCATTTTTATATTCTAAATAACCTTTTGAGTTAAAATACAGCAGAATTATTTATACTTTTTGAACTTTTTAAGTTCTTAAATTATCAAATTTATATTAAAGATATAAATAATTAATTCCAGACTATTTAAAAAATAATCATCATTTTCTGCCTATTGTTTGTAATATAATGAAGAATTGAAATTTAAAAGTGCTTTAAAATCTGATTAGAATCTAATTGAGTAAAAGCTTAATATTCAGACCAAAGTTTGAACATTTTATGAGCTATGCTATTTTAGGCTATTTACCAATTTAAAAAAAAGTTGAGATTTGTAACAGCAACTTCTGCAACTTCCTAAAATTAAATTTTGGGACATAATTGTCCTTGAAGTATGAAACTTAACCCCGACACTAGAAATTTTGAAAACACTTAGAAATTGAACTTTTAAGTAATGGCTATTAGCAATTTATGTTTTTTGTTTTTTTTTTTGTTTTTTTTTTTTGTTTTTGGATAGGAGTTCTAGTTAAAATAAGTATTTTTTTTTAATTTACCATTGATATTGAGTCTATCTCTTCCTCCCCCTTGGCTGAATTAAATTATCAATGTGCAATGAATTCTTAAATTGGACATGAGTTGAACTTCACATATAATATCATAATCATTATGGACATAATCAATGTCCACTCACAGAAGAGCTAAGATCATGACTGTATCCTCTAAAACTGTTACTTTTCACATGTGAACTGTCCTAAGCCTGAAGATTACATTTTATATTCTGGTCCAGCTTTGAGCCTGAGCTTTTTTCTTCTTTTATCCAGGTAGTTTTGAAGTGGTCATCCTTGATGACCTGGAAGGATTCAGGAAGTGCACTTCCCTTCATGCAAAGAATAAATAGTGCATTCATCAACCCACATTAGAGAAAAATGAAAGTCAAAGCTGAAAGTAAAATGGACATAATTTTAATGATTTTTTTAAATTTTGTGCATTGGATTCAAACAGCAAACTGTGTGCACTCAACTTTATCACAATGTTGTCAAGAGGTCTGTGTCTTTTACCATTTTACACACAATTGTTCATTACAGTATGTTATCCGCCTCGTGGAAACCAGGGGTGTGGCATGATAAGCAGTGGTGGTAGTGCACCTAGCTTTTATATTATCTAACTTGAAAATATTTCTCTTCTATGACTCCTTTTTTTCTTGATAAAAATAGTTTTCACCAAACGTTGGTGGTGCACACGCACTACCATTCATGCTCGACATCACACCCCTGACAGGAACGCATGTTCTTATTTTGTTGATAAAAAGTATTACAAAAATTTCCATACAAAAACTATTTTCATAGAAATCTTGCATTTCCACAAATAAACCTGAACATTTTTTTGAAAAAAAACTGCTCAAGAATTTTGTTCATTTAACATTGTGACTGTATTGATAAATGCAGTCCACGTCAGAGTTCACCACACATACTTCTCTTTAGATGACAGTCCCCTTTCTCCTTTCACTGAGATCTGCCCAGGCTCCATCAAGTTCATTTATAGCAGGAAGGAGGTTTTGGATTAACATGTCTGAATGTTAGAATGAAAGTTTCAGTCTTCCACAGAACTATCATACTCAGCCCTCTTTTACAGCTTAAGACAAAGAGTGCAAAACATCATCCATTTTAATTCAGAATCTCTGAACCAATTGTTGCTTTTTTATTCTTGGTGTGAGGCTGGGGAAAGGGTGGCTGGAATAGGTAGGGATTTGACAGAGATACATGTTAAACCTCCTGCCACAGTGAATATAAGAAAAAACATTATTGCCTTGGTAATCTGACACTTGTATTTCAATCAGTGACACAGACTATCAAAAAAAACAAAAAGGAAAGAAAGAAAAACACTGATGAAGATCTGCTTTATATTCCATTTGCCATGAAATTCAGATTTGTTTTGCTTTACATTTCTTCATATCCTATAAGCACATATTGTCTATTCAGATGACCATTATACTGAGTAGCTGGGGGCTAGTGACATCATCACCCTCTTATCTGGGTGGTCAGAAGACTTAACTGTTTCTTGTAACACTACAGTTTTTGCTGATTCCAAGTATTTTTATTCTTAATGATTTTTTTTTTCCTCTGGTTACCCTTGGGGCATTGATATTCCATCTCCTGGCAACAGTTGAACCTCAAAAGGAACCTGTAATTTCTTCCCGGACTGCATTTGAAACCAGCCACAAAATGGTTATGTAACATTCACTCAGAAGAAGGGAGGAACCCATGATAAACAGTGTAACCCCGTGTAACTCGGTTGATCCATGATGTTTATAAATCAAGTCTGATCATTGCAACTGCTTAGATCACAGAGTCTCTAGTTCATAGACACAGCGGCATGAGGTAACTCATTTTATTTTGCACAGGTTGCATATTTCCACAGGAAACATTCTCGCTAAATTGTTTGGAAAAAAAGACGACAGTTTGTGCTTGGGTGTTTGGCCTCCCAGCTTTATGCCATGGTTTCTTTACCTGGCAACCGTCTGTCGTTAAATGTGTGCATGTTGATAACCTCTTCTGTTTTCACAATAACTGGGGCCTGTGGCTTGTGTTTTAACCGACGCTGGCACTTCAGGGACATCCTCAGTTCCTCTACCATGGCGCTACAGAAGGACCTCTATAGAATAACACAGAAAAGGAAACATTACAAACACATCGACTGCAATCGTCCTGAACCAATAGTAGATTCAGTCTCAACAGACTTCTCAACATAGCAGCCTTAAAGTTTTGAAAAATTCCATTATAAGGGTTATATCAAATTATTCCACTTTTAATACTCAAAACATGATAATTAAAGTATTTTATCAAGTGGGCAAGTTTAAAGAAAATCTCCACCTGTAGTGAACTGCCAGCTAGGAATGCATACATTACACATAATTTGAATGAGGTTTTAAGATATATAATTGATTAACATGATAAGATATAATCTACCTTAAAATTTAAATACAAACACATATAAACAAATCAGTTACCAGAAATCCATCCATGCTATTAAAAAATATTAGACAAAATGTACTGGCTTTTAGATCATAATGTAAGATATGAAAATTTTCTTTAAACGTGGCTTCTTCATTTTGTCTCTCAAAACAGAACAAAAATAGCACTCACACATTTAGACATAAAATATGGAAAATTATTTTTGGTATTCATTGTATCTTTTTGTGATCATGCCTATAAAACTATCGGTGAAGATTACAAACACATACGACCTAATCATGAAATGACATTGTATCACATTTAAAAATCCATGCACAAATATTAACTAAATTTTTGGTATCATCAACTTGTTAATTGAGGACTGATCATTTATTCCATGAAGAAAAAGTGACCCTACATATATATTTTTAATTCCTATTTCATTGGCAATAGATTTGCCAGAAATTCTATATACCTGGAACTTATTACACACTCCTCAAATTCCTATTACAGAGTGAAAACATAAGACAGAAACTTGTTAGTCTCCCTCTCCATCTAATTGAGATACGTGTGTTAGTTACATATAACTCAGATTCATGAACCAGTTGCCTATTGTTGTTGACATTCAGATGGTCTAAGACTTAGGCTCTTTTTTTGCAAGAACTAAAAATGTGGACAACAACTAAAAATGTGGACAAGAATGAAAAATTTACACAATTCCAAAAAGTGATATGAAAACATAATGAAATAAACCTAATTAAATATGCATGTGAAGTCTATTTTTTTTTCATCTTAGGATAATTCCAAAATCCAAAAGCAAGCTTCAGGAGTTGGTGATGTTCAGGGAAGCCTGGTGTGCTGCAGTCCATGGGGTCACAAAGAGTCGGACACGACTTAGTGACTGAACTGAACTGAACTGAATTCCAAAATAATATAGGATAAAAATGGTTAATACCATATACATGCCTTATATTTTTTAAAATACTTTTCATATATCACCTTTTGTGACACAAACTAATACTGAATTAAGTTGGGCATCTGTATGACAGAGGATAACTCATTTTCTGCAGCTCACAACTACACTTCCAGCAAGATATTCTGATACCCAATTTTATGTTTTTTGATCTTGCCCTGTTAGCTTCTTGTCCATTCCTGACTATATTTTCATTTTTCTTCTTTGGGTTGCTGAAGAGTTTCCTTGGTGATCATCCCAAATCTATGCCTTGGCTATTCCTGAAATTCTCACAATTATCAACAATAATCTATTGTTCTAAACATGTTATTAATAGTATTATCTTGTCCAATAAACAGGTGAAATCCAAATCTCTTTTTTCCATCATGACCTCTCTGAGTTAATTTTACCTTATCTTCCCCCAACCTATTCTTCTTCTTCTTCTTCTTTTTTCTTTACACACATGCTTCTCTTTGGCCCTCCAAAGTTTTTCTCCTTTGTTTCTTCTTGCTCTGGTACTCAGCAGAGTTCTTTCATCTTTCACATCAGTCCAGCTTTATCCCTTACCTCCAGACATGACTCAAATTTTAACTTATTCAGGAACCACTTTCCAACTGACCAGGCTTATTATTTCTACTCAGTTTACCATTTTCCCCTCACTATCATGTTTCTCTGTCTGACCTCTAGGTCTTCCACGCTTCCCTCTCACTGAATTGTAAAGAGTAGCGATCAAGTGCGCATGGCACTGTTGACCGAATTAACAATAGCTGTACATGACCTTAAAATTTTAATTCTTTTTTAACAATGTTTGTAATTCAATTGCTTAAAAATTTTTTCAGACGCTTAGTAAAATACATTGTGTACAAGTGAGCTAATTAATCAGATAAACTTTTGTTATTTGTTTAATAACATTAAATTAATAAAAATATTAATTTATTAGTGTTTGTCATGGGAGATGATTAAATGCTACACATGAATTCCCAACTAACTGCCAAGTTATTTCTATGTATTATTTATTATGTGTTAAATTATATGGTTTTGAAATTCACAGATTCTATTTCTATTAAAGGATCTATATGATACCTGATAGCCAGTATATGGACACAGTGTTTCTTGTTGCTTAATACCTACTATTAGATGTACTTATTAAGAACATGATGAAAATGATGATGAAGATGGTGATGATGACAACATTGTAGAAATGGAAAAATCTGACTCCAAAAGAGGGAGGAATACATAGTCTTGAGGTAACTTAGTCTTGGTTCTCTGTTGAAACATTTAACAGAAGAATTGATTAGATAATATAATAACGTCAGAACTTGATGCCATCGACACTTTAAAAATGTTATAGGATGTGAATAATGTTGAATTGTTTGAAATAAGCCTTCATTTAAAATAATTAAACTTCCCAAATGCTAAAAAATTTATAACATTCTCTTTGGCAAACTCAGTTTTTAGATATCATGATTATATTGATTTCAAAAGTGATAAAATAGAGATATTGTTTTGTCCATAGTAACAGAGTGGTCTAAACAACTGATTTTCTCAGGAAAAAATCTTACAAATGTACATAACTATTCAACAATGAACTGATTCAATTTTATTTCTAGTTAGTTAGGAAGTAATTGTATTAATAGCCTATACTTAACTTCAGACTATAAATAAGTGCATTTAAACTCTTTTAAAGCAATTTTATGTAATATAAAACTTGCAATACTGATTAATATAAATTATAAGCATATATCCTGCCCCAATCAAGCATAAATAATTTAAAATTATCTTAAGTAAATGATATTTACAAATTTATAAACTCTGAAAATTGTAAACACGTAATCCCACCACTATCATTTTAGTCTTTCTCTATTTTCTTAAGTTATTAGAAAGTAAAAAATATAATCAAACAAGCTTTAAGCTGTCGATCAGTAGTTTTGATTTTAATATCATGTTACCACTTTTGTTAATTTTTTCCCTAAATAAGCTGACTTTGACAGTTCTTTTTGATTTATCAATATAAGTTTTACCTAAAAAAATAATATTATCTTAGATTCTAATACAGTCACCATGAAGCTGTAGGTTCTTTTCTTACTTAAATAATATTTCCAATCCTTCACAAAACCATGAAAATCTTTAGATTTGAGCAAAAATTTGGAGTCAACATTGACAAATTTAAAAAACTTAATGATACCGTAAAGTGTGGTTCACTTTTATCACTAAAGCAAACACATTTTTAAAAATTTTTTAAAGCTTGAAAATGTAAATTCTCTATCTTGATCTCTGTAAGAACCCAAAGTTGAAACTGTACAGACGATTGTGAGGTATAGCTGTATTTCTGTATTTTACGTTGCCAAAAAATAACTATGTCTGATTTTTAAGCTTCTAACTTGTCATTTGATAGAGACAAATAGTGTTTCCTACTTCTTATCATGATCAGAATTTTTTACATGTCCTTTTATGAACTGTGGAATGAGATTTTGAAAAACCTAAATGCACTTGACAGGAATTTCCTGATTATCATGAAGAAGAAGGAAGCTGAGGATGAGGAGGGAGTAGAAGAAAGAATAAAAGACACGGAAGAGAGGAAAAGGGGGTGGGGGACAAGGAAAGAAACAGAGAAGGAAAGAGGGACGAAGAGAAGGGAGAGAGGAAGTGAGAGAGAGCTTGAGGGAGGAAGAAAGAGAAAGAAAACTACCATGCTTTTCAAATCACTTCTCAGGGACAGAAACACACAAATTGTGTCAAAGTAAGTTTTGTAGGGTGAAAACAACAACAGAAATGTCTCTGCACAATATGACAGACTACAAAAAGAAAAAAAGGTGCAAGGATACTAACCATTATTAAAAACCTCTTTTAGTAAGTTTCAAAAGTTTACTAAACAGTGTCTGGATGGTAGGGTGGCACTAACCAAATAGAAGATTCCTGAAAATGAAAATTTAAATCTTTGAGCTGTTAGCATGTATAATTGCATTTAGTTAAACTCGTTATAAAATTCATTGTATTTAATGAGGCAACATGTATTACACATCTCTAATTCTTGAAACAATGAAGGTCTGGAAACCTTAAAAATAATGAATTTGGCTAAATGTACATTGCCTTTTAAACAAGTTATTTTTTTAATGTATAAGACAGCATAAATAGTCCACAGATAAATGTTCTCAAGAATATCATTCATGGTGTTACAGAATAATTTAATCTTAATAGCTTAACTTTCTAATTTATAGATATGTTTATATGATACATGATGTGAGAGTACTTTGAGAAGCACATAAATTCTTTTAGTATTAGAAATCTAGTTGCAAACATGCTCCACATTGAACAGTGATATATTTAAACTTCATTTTTAAGTTAAATCCTCTATGTTTAGCAATGTCTTTTAAAAAAATAGCAACTGATGAGAAATAAGTTTAATTTTTTAAACTTTGAAACTCATCACTTTCATGTTGAATATATAATACTATACCAACTGAAGGAGAAATAATCATAAACATATGCTATTATTAGGTCTATATTTAGTATTTATTTTGTAAGGAGAAACCTATTCTATACATCTTACTGTCTTTTTTTTTGAGGGTATAAAGTTAACTAAATGATATTCCAATATTCAGAATAATTTTCAACCATTTTTGTGTACAGTTTCTATTTGAAGCCTACTAAAACATCTTTAAACTGCTTCTAAGTGACTTGGTAGTGCAATGTCCTAATATATACTAGCACCTCTCAACCAAAATGTTTTGTTTTTTGTCATTTAAATT